CCCCTGCTGTGTGTGTGTGTGTGTGTGTGTGTGTGTGTGCACAGATGTGGGTGCATAGTGTTCGGGGGGGAGGGGGTGCACACACAGGTGTACAGTCCTCCCTGCATCTGTATACACAGATACAATATTCTTGTGGTGGGGGAGGTTGTACACAAATATACTGTCCTCCCCATGTGGGCATGCACAGGTGTACATGTGCTCTCAAGGGGTGTGTGAGCACACACAGGGCTTGGGGGGGGGGGTGAATGCACCTATGCACACAGGTGTATAAAGCAGGGAGGGGGGTGCATGCGTGTGCACACAGGGGCACAGGGTTCTAGGGGAGGTGTGTACACAGAGATGTACAGGACTCTGAGTGTGTATGTGTACACACAGGTGTATATGGTGTGTATGTGTGTACACATAGGTGCAGAAGGCTCTGTGTATGTGTACAGGGCTCTGGAGGGGTGTGTACACACAGGTGTATAGGGCTGTGTATGTATGCATGTACACAGGTGTATTGGGGTGTGTGTGTGTATGTGCACATGTACACATAGGTGCACAGGGCTGTGAGTGTAAAGGGCTGGGGTGGCAGTGTACACAGAGATATACAGGGCTCTGGGGAGGTGTACAGCAGGTGTATAGGGGTGTGTGTATACACAGGGGCACAGGGCTGTGTGTATGCACGTACACACAGGTGTATCAGGCTCTGTGTGTGTGTGTGTGTGTACACAAAGGTGCACAGGGCTGTGTGTGTTGGGAGGGTGTGTGTATACACAGAGGTATGCAGGGCTCAGAGGGTGTACAACAGGTGTATAGGGGTGTGTATATACCCCCAGGAGCACAGGGCTATGTGTGTGTGCACACAGGTGTATAGGGCTGCATGTGTGTGTGCACACAGGGGCATAGGGCTGCGTGTGTGTGTGCATGTACACATAGGTGCACGAGGCTGTGTGTGCAGAGCTGTGGGGTGCACACATGCACAGGGCTGTGTGTGTGTACACACAGGTATTTGCAGAGCTGGGGGGTGTACACACTGGTGTATAGGGCTGTGTATATGTGTGTACACACAGGTGTGTGTAGGGCTCTGTGTGTGCACGTGTGCACACAGGTGCACAGGGCTGTGTACTGGGCTGAGGGGTGTGCAGAGCTGGGGAGTGTACACACAGGTGTATAGGGCTGTGTATATGCGTGTACACACAGGTGTGTGCAGGGCTGGGGGTTTACACACACGTGTATAGAGCTCTGTGTGTGCACACAGGTGTGTGCAGGGCTGTGTGTGCACACAGGTGCATGGGGCTGTGTGCTGGGCTGGAGGGTGCACACAGGTGTGTGCAGAGCTGGGGGTGTACACACGATGCATAGGGCTGTGTATATGCATGTACACACAGGTGTGTGCAGGGCTGGGGGTGTACACATAGGTGTATAGGGCCATGTGTGCGCGTGCACACACAGGTTCACGGGATTTGCTGGCTCAGGGTGCGCACACAGGTGGATAGGGCTGTGTGTGTGCGTGCACACACTGGGTGTGCAGGGCGGTGTGTGTGCACGCACACACCGGTGCAGGGGCTGTGCGCGGGCTGGGGGCGCACGCCCAGGTGTGTGCAGGGCGGTGTGTGTGCGTGCACACACCGGTGCAGGGGCTGTGCGCGGGGCGGGGGTGCACACACAGGTGTGCCGGGCGGGCTCCGAGGGTCCCGCGCCCCCGTGTCCGGGCCGGGCCGGGCCGCCTCCCCGGGGCGGGCGGCGGTGACTCACGCTGCAGTGAATGGCAGCCCCCGGCTTTATAACGGCGGGGGGGGGCCGGCGCCGCGCCCCGGCCCCCCCACCCCCCCCCCGTCATCACCGGGGTGAGTCCCGGGCGTCCCCGCAGGGCTGGGACGGGGGCTCGGGCGCTGCTGCTTCTCCGGCAGCCCCGAGCCTGACCGGGCGGGAGGCAGCGGGGCTTTGCCCCGGGCTGGGCAGGTGGGACTGGGAGCTGGAGTCACCCTGCCCCTCGCCCCCAAGCGGGCGCCCAAGGATGCTCGAGGGGGCTGCGGTCCCTGTTGCATCGCAGTTCATGCAAGAAATGTTGGTAGGAGGTAGAGGCAGGGGGTGCAGGAGCGGAGAGCGGGACAGGGTCTGTGGGAACGCTTTAGCCGCTGTGGGACATAATGCCTAGAGGCAAAGGCCTGAAATGACCTCTGGGGCAGGGGTTCCCAAGCTTGGCACCCCTGCGGGCTACACAAGACATGGGCGGGTGGGAGGAATTGTGCAATGGTGGATTTAATTATCATTATAATAATCATTGGCATTTGTGAAACGTGTGCTGGTAGGGGTACGTGGGCAGCTGGCAAATGTGGAAGGGGGTATGCGATAAAAAAAAGTTTGGGAACCTCTGTTCTAGAGGAAAGAGCTGACGATTCCCCTGAAGCAAAGTGTCGACCACAGCCCCTGCCCGGGGTATCTGGACCGTAGCACAAGATGCAGCCGTGATGGTCCGGAAATGATGTGTCAGGCAAGGATTTTGTCCGGTGATCTCTTTTAAACGACCCACTTCGAGGTTGGGATAAAATTAGACGAGCTTTTGAAGGCAAGACGTTCTTCCTCAGATTGGAGCACTACTGTCCATTATAACTTCATGCCAATACCTCGAACAAGAGGAAGACTGTCTTACCTTCAAAAGCTTGTCTGGCTTGATAAGGTCTGTGGAAGACTCGAAAGCTTGTCTGACTTTATCCTGACTACATAGCTGATTCAATAAAAGAGATCGCCCTAAGAAATCCTTGCCTCTCTCTAGGCTCAGATGGACTCGCTTTTAGGGCTAGTGTCTGCCAGCCGGGCTTGCTGCGAGGGGCACATTCCTGGGAGAGGAGTGCCCCTGCAATGAGGGGGCTTCTTGGGGCATAAGGGATCTCGACCTTCACAGGGAGCCTGCGAGGAAGGGTGGATTAGGGCAAGGTACCACCTGTTGAACAGGCATCAGATCACTTCAGTGTGTTCCCCTCCTTTCCAGCATAGGACTTCCCCTAGACAAAAGAATGCACTATAAACTTACTAACCATTATAAACCATTCAAAATGCATCCCTAGCACCAGCACAAGCAAGTGCCCTAAGATGCTGTGCCAATTAAAGACCCTTTTGGTGCGAGTACCCTTTTTTGTAACACAAATGACAGGCATAACTTTCTGACGGAGAGCTGCAGAGCTACATCCCAGACGCTGGAGGAGAGGGGAGTGAGGATGACACACTGCAGGTTTTGTAATTGTCCTATTTACAGGGCTGCCCACCCAAAGCCGTCTTGGACCCCGTCCCTCCTCCCCAAATTTCTTGTCTGATCTTGCACAAGCTTTCTGCCGTCAGTCCAAAAGAACGCAAGCATCAATGGTGCTACTGTGGGCTTGTAAGTGTGTCACTAGAGCAGAATTTCCTCGTTAGGGTTTTTTCTTTGTTTGTGGAAGGTTAAAAAGCAAATATTATCTAGCTGGGGGGCTTTGGCAGCAGATTATAGAGCCTTTACCCACAGTTTATAGAGCCATATTAGTCTTCTGGGTAAATGCTTTATGTATTTGGGCTCATTTAAACCATACAGTCATTTACTTTGTTAAATACATACTTTAGTTGGAGTGCTACACTTTTTGGCTATGCAGACTGTTTAGTTGCTTAAGCCGCACTCTGAGTTACTAGTTACTAGCTGTGCATTAAGTATGCATTTTGATCTGAATTCTGCTTTTTTTTTTAAATGGCATACTGTGTACCCAGCCACGTACGGTATAATGGCATGTATCCAATCCCAAAGTAAGACCCTTAAATGCTTTTTCTGGTGTATTTGCTGCATTAGATAATAGTCTCTTTTATAGCTATTATGATCTTGTATGCACATTTTTCAGAGTTTGTCTTCTTGATCAGGCCCTTTTCTGCTGGTCACTCTCACTGTCAGATATATAAACCAAAAATAATGATCCAGTTCGGCTTGCCTTTACTATGTGAGCAGGCCCACTGATTTCAGTGGGAGTCCTCTCCTGAGTAAGTAGATTATGATTCTGCCTTGAATTGCTATAATTACATTCTTACACTCTTTTTGGTTTGGAAAGCACTTCAACAGGAGCAAACCTGTGTGGTCATTAATTTCTCAACCACAGTGTGCCAGTTGTTCTTAAAAATTTTTTTTCAAAATATGCTAAATAATACATAGTTCATCTTGTGTTTAGATGACCACAAATATGTCTGAAGCCAGTGTTTGAGATTAACAATGTACATCCCCTCCTCCTCCCACTTATATTAGCCTCTCTGGGTGCGGAACTGTTTTATTCAGCACCATTCTCTTCGATATTAAAACCCTTTTTAACTGAGACGTAGCTATAGCTAACAATCATAAAATCCTTGATTAAACTTGCATTTTATCTTGTTCCATTTGGACTTCTGTAATAAAAGTGTAATACAGTCTTATATTTGGGCAGGCACTCAACCATGAAATAGTAGAATAAGTATCCAGAAGGAAAAGTGGTATAAAAATCTTTAAATCCATTTATTAGTTTAACAGCATTAGCTCCTCTTCTAGGCAGGGGGGCTGATTTCTTTGACACACTTGACTCATTTTATACCTCCTCAGCTTCACTTAGGCCTCGATTCGGGAAAGCACATCAGTGCATGCTTTAAGCCCATCATTGTTCAGGACAGCACAGAGGGATGCTTTCCTGAGCTGGGCAACAGACTACTGCCAATTATAACATCAGCTGTGATTGGATCGGATGGCTAATTTGGATCCGTCAGCCCAATCCAACTCCCTGTTTGATCATTGCATGTTTCAGTAGGGCTTGACTCTGCAATGTCTATTCAGCTGAACAGGAGCCAGAGGTGCTGACCTCTCAAGGTCCTGCCTACCACATTGGTATCAACATTAAGAGGGTCCTTAGACGCTACAAACTTTCCCAGGTTGCAAAACTTTCCTGTATTAAGCTCCAGCTCTTAGGCATTTGGGAAAGCAGTGGCATTGACTCTTTGGCCAGTGCTTTTGTTTGCCTAGTCGCATTGATTCATGGATGTGTTGGCTTCAGGCTTGCGACAGGGATCTCCAGTGCGGGGGAGGCATGTGCTGCGCCGTGAGCCTCTGGATTCGGAGTTTGCGAATGTGCACACCAATGGGCAGCTTGGGAGAGGAGTGTCATCCCCTGAGTCATAAAGTGAGTATGTGTAATAACGGCGATTTCCCCTGGTACCAAAACTGACAGGGCAGAAAGGAATTGGGATATATTTTAAGTCAAATTGCATGGAAATCTATACTTGTAGGGGTATGTAATGTACCTTGTATAGAAATATTTTACTGTCAGAATATCTCTGTACAAAACACAAGGTCAAAAGGACCCTATGATTTTTCTTTGCATTTGAGTTAAGCAACACTTTACAGTTCCAGCATCAAACTTCCCAAACCCTTTACTCATGTAAGTCATCTTTGATATTGCTATATGAGCGAGAAGACTCGTGTAAGTTGGAAATAATTAAACAAGTGACAACATCAACATACACGAAGACACCTGCCCTATTCATTGGAGCGCTTTCACTGACATTTCACATCTGTGCTTATGTTCTAAAGATTTAAAGATCCAAAAGACATTAAAAATGTTTTGCTATACCCAAGAAGTGGAAGCCAGCCTTAACATCTCTCATGAAGGGCAGCTTTCTTGAACTTCTGCTCAGGAACGTGAGGCTAAATCTCTAGGTCTGCCAGGTTCTTCCAGTCCAAGACGCATTGAAACAACTTGCCACGGTGGTTATATTTACCTGCAAATTCAATAATATGATATGTACCTTTTCCAAACACTGTCCACTTTCAAGTGTTCGACTTTAACTATATACTGAGCTCAGCTATGTTAGGAAGGATTCTTTTTATCAGGTCAGCACGACAGAAGTTGACAAAGTGCACAACCCTACGTTCATTTTGAAAGGGATTTTTACTAATTGGTTTGTGACGAGGGTTTGAAAAACATGGTGGTTTTTCAAGCTGCACACACGAAAATGTGTGATCTAAGAGCAGTCGGGCATGAAAGACTGTAATTTATGGATTTGTAAGTACAAAACAAGTTAGTTGCACTTCCATTTGTTTGCAGGCACCACTTGTCAGCTGTGTGTCTGCAGTTCCTTTTCTGACTGCTTCACGCTGACTAAAAATATACCCTGAAATCTTCTACTGAGATATTAGGCACCTGATTTTTTATGCGTGCTATCTAAGGTGACATATATCTTCTTTAAGACCCTGTTTCAGTTGCAGCCTCCTTGCAAATGAGAAGCAGTTCCTGGTTGTCCTAGGAGCTCCTTGTTGCATTACAGTAATTTATACTGTCCGCCATACTCTTCAGCTGACTGCACATGGTGTCACAATTAACAAAGACATGTATGATTAGAGTCATTGAAGTTTACAACTTCCACATGGCTAATTTGAAACTCACTCTGCCCGCGTCCTTGTGAGGTAGAGAACTGCCTTCCTGTACTTTGTGAAATTAAATATTTTCAGGAATAAAGTGGAAGGTTTGCTCTATTTTTCTTTCCTTTTAAATATTTTGTGCATGGGGGTTGAGAGCCCGGTAGTGCTGAATGCTGAAACCTTTCATTTATCTACAGGTCAGGTACAAAGCAGACACCATCAATTCATGCTTTCCCCACACTGCTGTGCCACTGAATTTAAACTCTCTCTTCAAAGGCTACGCTAAATTGAAAGGCAATTTAGTCTTCACGGAAGATTAGTCTTGCGCTCACTAGGGCGGAGACTATCACCTGTGTTAAATCACATGTGGTGAGTGTGTACGGTGGACTCCGGAGAGTTAGCAGCTGAACTGAAACAGAGGTATTTTGGCTATTGCTGAAAACGGGGGGTTAAACGTGGCCCCTGAGCTTCTGTCCATGGCACTGATGTGGATCAATGTGACCTTCTCATAATCATCAGTGTGTTTATCCTCCCACTAGCCCTGTGAGAGAGGGTCTCGCTATTTATTCCCACTTTCCAGATGGGAAACTGAGGCACAGGTTCACCCAAGGTCACACAGGAGCTTCCCCTCTCCCAGCACGGATGCAGGACCCTTCTGGATGTGGCCGCTGGTTTCTGCATCCTAGTCTCCTCTCTAACCATTAGACAGTGTTATTTAAAACACCCGTTTGTTTGTGTTTCAAGAGATGACATGTAGATAGCATACGATTAAATCTGCAATTAGGAGGACAGGGATATGCAAGCTGACAAGCATGGCGGTCTGGTGGTGAATATTCAGATATTCGCGTAGGTGCTGCATACCGCACTATTAAGCATAGGGTAGTAAACTGTTGGGAGGAGGAATATGTGCAACAGTGGCCTTGTATGTCCGGATTTAGGGTCAAGTCCTTGGAGGTACTTGCACAAAGGGAAGTAGTTAGCTTTCTGTCGCCTTTCTGTTCTTTGCTTCCCGATACACTAGGCATTAGACAAAAGTTACAGCAGCCTAGTGCTGCTCTAGTTTGCAGCAGCTGGAAAAATCCCAGATCATTCAAGCACAGATTTCTTTGACTACCCTTCGTTCCACCCTGCCATGCTCTCAGCCCAGCACCAGCCCTGGAGGGGGCAAGAGCAGAGATGCAGGAGAACCTGCCCAGAGCTGGTGCAGCTGCTCTCTGGAGCAATGCAAGGGAAAGGTCTGCTGGGGTTCCCCTCGTTTCAATATAGAAATATTTGATTCTGGTTGTGGTTTATTCCTATTCCCAAAGTTTATTTAGCTACTTCTTCTGTGTGAAAACATTGATTTCTTTTTAAAGGGCAAAATGATGGACCTGTGTTTCCTGCCAGTGATGTCAAACCTGCCTGTGCATCTCAAACTAGGCGCTCCAAATTAGTGAATGCTTTTGACTTTAATCTCCGCGTCCTCCATGTATTAAACGGAAGAGCTCACCTTGCAAAGGTGTTGTGTTTTGCCCAGATACTACCGTGGCAAGCACTGTAGAAGAGTTCACAAGCAAATTTAACATTTTGTCATTAAAGAGGCTGGATAACATGCAGTAAATCACACTTCGGGCGTGTACTAAATAGGGAGGTGAAAGGAAAATGCAGAAGAGCTGCTCAGGAAGTAAGAGCCCCATCCTGGGAGCAAGAGACAGGGGCTCTGTGCAGAAATAATATGACCACATAAGCAAAGGCTGTGTCAATGAAGTGGCCTAGCACAGTAGTTTTCAATCTTTTTTCATTTGTGGACCCCTAAAAAATGTTGGATGGAAGTGTGGACCCCTTTGGAAATTTCAAGTGGGGGTACAAGACCCATTTGAATTATATGTGTGGGTATTCATATACTTTCGATTGATCATAGTCATCTTTCGTGGACCCCTTCGACCTAGTCTGCAGACCCCCAGTGGTCTGGGGACAACCAGTTGAAAAGCTACTGGCCTAGCAGAACCAAAGTAAGGCTGTGTAGCATTCCCTCAACGTTGCTTTTTTGGCTGCGTTATACACCAACGAGAAAATAGTCTGGCTGGAAATGAAGTGCGTGAGTGCTTGCCTGTGCAAAGGTGTCTACTCATCCAGCATTGAATTCCCCCAGCCCAATTCAGAATCACAGGATCTTTAAGGCCCATAGCGCACCATGGAAGCCACAAGTTGCTGCTATCTGTATTGCACGGGAGGCATGGTTGTCTTCCCCTTGTGTGATCCTCATGTGTGTAGTTATGCAAGCCTTGCAGATGCATTAGGAGGGCAGCATGGTACAGAGGCACAAAACCATCACCGCTCTGTGCTGATGCCATTTACAGTAAAGGAAGAAAACTAGAAGCCTGATGATGAAAGCTGATGCATTTTTTTTTCAATCCGTATTTAGACGATTGGAGAAAAAGGCGAACCTGTATCACTGCCACAGTTTCACATAACACTGCGTGCCATTGCTGCCAGCTTTTTCCCCTCGGCTTCTGACATTTTCAATGTTTGCTTCCAGATCCCATTTTTCGGGAGGAGGATGCATCACACCTGTCCGTGCCTGCCTAACTTGGCCTGCATGCGGATATCTCCGAGCAGATTCAAATGTTTACCGGAGTTCAGAAACGAAGACGTCTTCTTTTAGCAGGAACTGTTCTTAGCGGTCATTTGGTGTACTATTTATTTCTCTTGTTATTGTGATGAACAAGCTATTTGCCAGAGAAAAATCTCTAGCATACTTTTGCACCTCGTAAACTTTAAAAACAAACACTGAGGTACTGTATTATAGTGGGCAAGATTTTGAAAAGGACCTTGTCACTTGAAAAATCTTGGCCAATCTTTTTATACTACAGTAAGCTTGATTTAAACAATGGGAGGTAATACTGGAAAACAAAGTTAGGCATAAAACAAATAGCAAAAGAATGGTATTTAGGTTTATATTTGGTACCTTTATAATTATAACAGTACTTGTAGGTTAGTAGCATCAGTACGTTAAAAGTTTAACCGATATCTGTAGTCTTTACGTGTTTTAAAACTGGCACATTAAACCAAAGCATTTAAGCATAAAAAGTGTTGAAAGATTCTATGTTGCTTTAATATTTAAAAAGAGAAATGAGTTCTTGTAAATTTACCTGGCACAAACCGAGCTGCTTATTTGAAACCATGTATTGAACTGCAGTTTATATTTCAAACGAACCCCTAAAGTATATTGTAATGGTCTGCCTGACTTCTTGTCATGTATATGTATCAATATTGCTGTGACAAAATTCTGTATCAGAATAATGACAGTATATCATTAATTTTAATATTATATCATTATTTTTGTCACCATGGTCTTCAATTTTTATTCCATGTAAAGTGTTACTACGTGTGTGAGCAGAGCTCCCTGAAATTTTGTAAAAGGTTTTGCACCTTTATATATCTTGAACAAAACTCAACTCTTCCCAATACACGTTTCCTGCACAGAGCTCCATTCTTAGGCGATGTGACTTGAGTGCTGTGGAATTTTCCTGTAGCTAACATCAAGGTTTTTTCTAGGCGCGGCGCAAAGGATCAACACACCAAGCATGTCAAGTGTATGGTGTGTGTGATTTTTAGGAAATACCGTCTAACTTCGTAGGTCCTTGCCAGTCTCCGAGGTAAGGATTCCAATGGTTTGTGTGAATTTCACATGCTTTTTTTGCCACCAGCCATGTCAACATACATAGAAAGAAGAAAAATGGAACCATTCATCTTCCAACACTCAGTGGCTTTTCTGATCTGGCACCTTTAAGGCAAGGTAGTGGAGTTGCATTATGGTAAATTAGGGGGTGGGAAAAATAGAGGATGGGAAATTCTCCAACACATTCAGTAGCTACCTTTGAGGACACCGAATACTCTCAGCTCTCATTCTGTTTCAACGTACAATAGATGTGTAAGTAAACATGATGAACGCAACTGCTATTATGCAACTACTTTCAAGGTGAGTGATTTCCCATCCTGGGGGAAAGAAGAAATACCCACCTGTGATAAACCCCATGATATAGAAGAGCAATTTATAGTTGTGGGTCTCTGAGAAAGGACAAAACCTAGGCCTGTGTAAGCCTTTCACGTAAGCGATAAGGAGTAAAACTACTTTTGAAAAGTGGTTGACCTATGAACCGTACTTTGTAAATTCTTTGCAGACTGGCAACCCATCCCTATTCCATAGCGCAGACTGTTTTATAGGGAAAGGAGAAAACGTACACCTTCCTTACTGCACGTTCTCTGTGCCAGCCGAGAAAAGCAAGACGACTCAGTAAACGAGGGGATTGAGACTGATGCATCAACGCGCGTTACTTTACCTTTCCTTGCAAAACCGAGACAGGCAAACCCAGAAAGTGGAAAAGCCTTGTACCGTGTTAAACCACAATCAGATGCCTCCAAGACATCTGCTGCAAAGGAGCAGTCATAATTAACTAACTGCCACCACATGCCCATCGCCAAGGCACTGTGGTCAAACAGTTGATGAGTACTAGACTGTAGAAACTGAGCGGGTGGCAAGAATTTGTTCTCTTTATTGCCACTGCTGAGTTGGTGGACAGAAATAAAATGGGAAAGAAAGGGCCTGGAGGCCATTCATTCAGAAGCTCTGCGTTAAGGTGTGCTGTTGTCTCAAACACAGCTCTGGCTAAAGTTTGTCTTCCAACAGTTAGATACCACAAAAGCATGATGTTAGCAGGAGCCAGAACCCAGCAGGGCTCACTGATGACTTTGGCTGGGGATAGCATTGGATAGCATCAGCTGGTTTTGTAACTCACTCCCTCCACATCTGAAGCAAGGGGCCTGATTCTCCACGATCTCTGGGTGTCAAATGCTACCAAATCAAATGGGGATGTCGCACCTATTTTGTGGTGCAGGAAGGAATGCCTGCACAAAGCGGAGGATAGCCAGACCTAGCGCTTCTGAGGATTTTAATTTTGCGAGAGGATGTTCATCACTGATTCCTTCTAGGCTGAATTGACTTAGGGGGAGTTTTGCTGCACTGTACTTCAGGGGCCAAACTTTCACCTCTGTGGGGGGTTTTTTAATTCCTTTAATGGGCCTGGATCCAACTGGTGTAAAGTCTAGCTCCATTCAAGCCAGTGGAATGGCTAGGACCTCAGATCAGAAACAATTCCCTCCCTCTAAAGTGAGCTTGAAAGGCCAACAGATGGATGTGCTCAGTCAGAATGGTTCCCCTTAGCTTCTTAAAAGCTAAGGCCAGTTACCACATGCTGAGGAGTTGACCCTGAGACTGCAAATGAGAGTCGTGTCCAGGAATTAGGAGCCTAATTCCCTTTGCACTTACTCGAGTTTTGACTTGGGTGTAAACCCATTGATTTCAATAGAATTTCTCTTACTTGACACTTGAAGGGGCTCAGGCTCTTGTCGCCAGACATCTACTGCAGCATTAGCCGCTGCACATATCCCGTCAGCCTCACTCTGTTTTTTCTTGCTGAGCCATGCCAGCGTGCTCAGAGCTATGAATACGTACAAGGAGACTGAGGGCCTGCTTCTCATCTCGTGCTGGCATAAATCAGAAGTAACTCCCCAGGAACCAATAATCCTGTTTGATATCAGTGGGAGTGAGTGGACAGTTCTGTCTGATGACCTGCCAAACAGAATTCCTAGGAGATTTTATTATACAGGAGCAGAGCAATTTTGCAGTTGTAATTTATACCAATTACCCTATAATGGGATTAGACATTTATATGGGTAATGAGAACATCCACAGTTGCATTAAATAAGATTTTAGGAAATATTCAAGGGATCTAAATGTTCATGTTTCAGAGACAACTGGTGATGGATGGTGGGGCATGGACAGTGCTTCTTCCTCATGAAGGCTACTCCTTAATTGTCTGCGACTGGATTTCTGGCACCTTATTCTGAAACATCCAGTTCTGACCACTCTCAGGGCGGGATACAGGACTGGATGAACCAGGACTGGATGAACCACTGGAACAGTCTGGTTCATCCATTGAACCACTGGAACAACGACTTCCATGTTCCCATTTACTCCCTTTGCATTACTATCACTAGACCTGCTCTCCCTTATACTCACTTGACTCTTATTACTTCATTTCTTTTCTAGGAAGATTTAGTGTATTCTTGCCCAAGTCTTGCCAATTTTCTACCGTAAACCACTATTCTTCACACCCATCTCAGTGAAGATTTCCGGCATGGAAAGTTCCTTCCATTCCCATCTGCGGTGTAAAAAGCAAAGCAAACAAACAAAAGCCAACCTTTAAATTCTTTAGTATTGCTTCATTTGAAGCCAGTGATAATAGGTGAATGAGTGTCTGAAAGAAAGTTGCTGGCTACATGCTCCCACCAGGTTATTCTTTAGCCAGATTTTTTTTTAACTTGAGGGATGTATCGGAGCTTACTCAGCAACGATGATAGAAAAGTTGGTGACCAGATCCAAGCCAGCTCTGCTATGAAATGTTTTCTTCAAACTTTTATGCTACACTATTTGCCTTGACATGACACTGGGCATTGTGTCTGGACAGCGTCCTTGTCTTCTGTTTTGAAATATATTTAATTTTGTCACTGAGCCTTTGTGTGGTTTTTAAGGCATGGGAAAAGCATTCATTGAGACACAAAAGGGATAACCGAGGCCCCCCCCCCCCCCCCCCCCCAAACCTCTGTGTTATAGATTGTTTCCAGGCCTGGCTTCTTATAAAATCCATGTGGTCTGTTTATTTTATACTTGCAGGGCTTGGCCTTCATTAACATAGCTGGAAAATAAATGGAATTTACCGCTCCTGTTTGAACTTTGTGGTTTGACTTTCATCATTATATCAATGATAGATTTGGAAGGAGATTTAGGGCCTTGTTACACATTACTTTTAGGTGGCTCCTGGAGCTCTTAACCCCTGGACTGTCCACACACTGACATCTGGAACTAATTTTAAGCACACTTTAGGCAGCTTAAAGTTACGCCACTCCAAGGCAGGTTTCTCTCTGATCTGTGTTACCCAGCTTGATGTGTGAACACTCCCCACAAATGAGCCACCCAAGTTGCAGTCCTTCAGCATCCCAGGATGCAGTCTCCCCTCCTCACCCTGCTGTTCTGTGTAGAAAATTTTACACCCCCTGAACTCTACTGCCCCAGGGGGTGGTTCTGGCACCAAGTCAACTCCCCCTCCTGCTTCTGGGGGTGTGATCTTCCCACCCTTAGGGGTGCAAACAGTCTGCAGAGTACACACCTGCTAGCCAGGTCACGGGGCACAGATAGGTCTAGGAATGGGATCTGGGTTGGGGGAAGGAAGGGGACTGGAGCAGGTCCCCATGGACTGGAGCTTCCTTCCTGGGGTGGGGGTGGTAGCTCCCCCAAAAGTGCCTCACCACTCCCAGCTGCCCTAGGAACCATGACCAGCACCCCTCGCACCCCAATCCCAAATCCTAATTTATTAAAATGTGAGACCTTCTTTAATTTACTTCCTCTTTCTTTCTTTTTAAATTCTTTTTTTTTTCTCACTTGTCTTTATTTTACCCTTCAGTGGCTGACTTCCTGCATTTCACCATCCTTCCCCCACCTCCATTTCCTTTCTACCTCCCATTTCATTACCCACCCTATCCCATTAACTCTCCACCTCCCAGCTTCATGTTCCTGCCCCCTCGCAACCCCTCTCTCACATTTGGTGGTGGATTTCAAGGCAATGAAACTGGAAGAATTTACAAAGCTAGGCCTCGAAATGCAAGTCGGGGATAAAAGCAAAACTGTGGTTAAGCCATGTGACATGACACAGAAATACACGTGGAAAACAAGAAAGATAGAAACTATCAAGCCTGAGAGAACACAGAACTGGGATGGGGAGTCCTTGAGAAACCAGAATAAAACTCCTGAGAACGTGGAAACATAGAGCTGATACGATGTTTTGGAAAATGCCATGTCTTGCTTGGGAAATACAGTAAAGTCCCTGGTATCTGGTATGAGTGGAGAATTGGGGGCGCTGGTAATGTAAAAAATGCCGGTTACTTAAGGGCACAGGGTTTTCACTCGGACGTGGAGCAGGGGTGGGAGGGTGGTAGTGGCCACATGCAGAGAGGTGGCAGCACAACGTGGTGGCGGTGGCGGCCACGTGCAAGCTTTCCCCCATCATGTTCAGCCAGCTCGCCGGAGATTCCAGTTGCTAGAAATGCCAGTTAGTAAAATCCCAGATAACAGGGATTTTACTGTACCTGCACCGT